GTCAAAGAGGAGGGGCAAAAGAAACTGTACTGTTTGTTTTATGTTGATGATTTGTTATTCTTTTGGAAAGATGTCGCAATGTACAATAACGCCCTAGCTCAACTGAAAGAGCACTTTGACATGAAAGATCTTGGTGAGGTAAACAACTACCTATCTCTGGAAATAGAGAGAGATCAAGATGGTAACATTCTAGTACACCAGTCACGGAAAATTGCTGATGTGTTAAGCAAACTAAATCTGATGGATGCTAACCCTGTAAACACACCGATGACAACAGGTTATCAGGTAGATGACACTGAAGAAGCATTTTCTGACACTACACTGTACAGGAGTGTGCTAGGCAAGCTAAACTTCATTGCCAGATGTTCAAGACCAGACATTGCTGTTAGCTGTAATTTGCTAAGCAGACAAGTCAACAATCCTAGTGTCAAGGATTGGAAAGCTCTGAAACGCATAGCGCGGTATTTGAAAGGCACTATGCATTACAGACTGAGATTTAACAATCAAAAGTCTGGTGGTCTTGAGATATTTGCAGATGCAAGTTTTGGAAGTGACGCTACAGACAGGAAAAGTACGTCTGGAGTTTGCTACATGTACAATCAGGGTCTGTTTGATTGGTCATGCAAGAAGCAAACAACAGTTAGCTTAAGTACTTGTGAAGCCGAACTGAATGCACTGTCTTATTCACTTAAGGATTGTGAATGGTTAGTACAATTGTGCAAAGATATGAAAATTCCTGTCAAATGTCCAATCCAGGTTTACCAGGACAACAAAGCATGTTTGGCTTTGCTGAAGTCTGAAGGTTGTAAGCAAAGCACAAAGCACTTGCAATTAAAGTTGCAGCATGCTAGGGAATGTATTCAGAAGGGACTCGTAACGGTGTCCTATATGCCAGGTAATGAAATTCCTGCTGATGTATTGTCCAAGATTGTATCGAGGGATCAACACTGTACCTATGTGCAGAAGTTGGGTTTGTACTGATATTGTACAAACACGCTGCCCAGTGATGTTCACAGAAAGGGGAGGATGTTGGTTTCTGCTTTCCTTCACTGTGCAGCTCTGCTTGTCACGAGACAGGTGTTTACATTCCACAGTCTGTACTGTTGGAGTTTCTCACGGGAAAGGGAGACTGGATGTGACGTACACTGGTTTCCTGTTTTTCACTGTGTGATTCTCTCCGAGCTGTTGAGGAGAGAGGATGCATTTTCTGCTCCTGCAGAGGCAAGATGTCTTTCTGTAATATACCAGCTTTGAACTGTAAATAAAGCTATATAGAGTATGTAACACGTATTCCTCATCCTTCCGCTGGCCAAGAGACTCTGCTTAAATCAACACAGCCTGCCACTGCTTTCCTCCCAGGGCTGGCGTAGGCTCCAGCCTCCCAGCACAGATGGCAGGAGACCCATCACCTTCGACATCCTGAGCCAAATTCATAAAAAGCTAAGGGAGGTTTGCTGGTCTAAGTACGAAGCACGCCTATTTTCAGCAGCATACTCTGTCGCCTTTTTCGCCGCCTTGCGCATTGGTGAGGTGGTGTGCGACAATCAGCCCAGTCGTATTTCTTGAGGGATCTTACTGAAGGATGTGACATTATCGCCTTCAGACCTACTTCTCCATATCCGAAGCTCCAAAACTGATCAGTTAGGAAAAGGGGCCTTAATTCGCCTTATAGCAAAGAAGGGGCCTTGCCCAGTAAAGGATACAAAGCGTTTCCTATATTTGAGACCAAAAGCCCCCGGCCCCTTCTTCATACATGAAGATGGCTCCCGCCTCACAAGGCATCAGTTTACGCGCGTTATGCGCAAGGCAATTGCTGCATGCGGTTTCCCCCCTGCGGAATTTGCGGCTCATTCATTTAGGATTGGGGCAGCCACGACAGTGGTACACTTAGGCCTCCCGGCCGAAAGAATAAAGGATATGGGGCGTTGGAAATCAGATGCCTTTAAAGGGTATGTCCGGTGATCCATTATGATATTCAACACACACACACACAATCCCTCCTTGTTCTGCTCTTTTTCTTTTAGGTGGTGGGGCTGTGCACGTCTGGATCATTGGACATAGTATTGTGCACTGGGCCAGAATTCATGCTCTTAATCAAGGTCAAGGAGGAGCACTGGAATTGCCAGAGAACATAGAACTTTCCTGGATTTCTCGGCGTGGAATGCGTTGGGCTGAATTTCTGCCAGCAGTGAAGGCCAGAGTCGCCAAAGATGGTCCACCGGATGCCCTTGTCATTCAGTTGGGGGAAAACGATTTGGCTTACAGGAAGGGCGTGGACATAATGTGGAATATTTACAGGAATTTTGACAAATTGAAAAATACTTACCCAAATCTAGTCATAATTTGGTCTTCCCCGTTAGAAAGGCGCATATGGAGAGATTGCAGATGTCCTATTGCTATTAATAAGTCCAGGAAAATATGCTCGGTGGCTCGTAGAGTGGTGTCACTGGGGGGACGGGTCATCGACCACCCCAACATTCGATTCAGCAAGGAGACCCTCTACCGCGGGGATGGCGTACATCTTTCCAATGAGGGGAACGATGTTTGGCTGGCTGACATTTCTGCAGGGATTAGGGATTGGTTGCAGATTTGAGGGTATTGGCGGCGAGCTTTTGCTCGAGTGGCGGTGAGGCATTGGTCGAGGTATTGTTATCTAGATGGATGGGGGGGAGGAGAGCCATCACCTCCCCCGGTTGCAAAGGGTAGTCCGGTAAAGGACTCCGGGGGCGTGGCCCAGTCCGAAGCCTAGGGAGGTCAGAGCCCAAGGCACGCCCCTGAGCGGTGACCCCAGGGGAGTGTCTAGTTGATGTGCATCAGCAGGGCTCCCCCTGCTGGTGTTAACCCTTCCCGGCCTCTCAGGCATACAGCCTGAAGCCGGATAGTGGATAGGACCAATGCCTAGGCCAATACCGCTCATTTCCTGCAATCAATAAAGTTGTGGCCAATTTTTGCCCATTAACCTTAATTTATGGTGTCTTGTGTCTTTATTTCCTCTGGTGGGAGGAGGGAACTCGCCACACAAACACTCTGCAGGTTCAGCCCCCAAAAGAAACTGCTCTATGGTCTCTGTGTTGGGAAATGGGAACAGATCTTGCTTATCACCAACCTTCCCTCCGCAAATCAGTATCACTATGAGGCTGAACTGAACAGCTTGCTCCAGAGTTTTAAGAGATACGTTTCTGTGGTGTAGTGGTTAAGAGCGGTGGACTCTAATCCGGTGAGTCGGCTTCGCTTCCCCACTCCTCCACATGCAGTCTGCTGGGTGACCTTGGGCCACTCACACTTCTCTCTGAACTCTCTCAGCCCCACCTACCTCACAAGGTGTCTGTTGTGGGGGTGGAAGGGAAAGGAGATTTTTAGCCACTTTGAGACTCCTTCAAGTAGAGAAAAGCAGGATATAAAAGCCAACTCCATGAATAAGAATTCTATGGAAAAGGACCATCCCTGCCATGATGATGAAAACTATATGTTTGGATTTTGCTGTATTATACCAACCTGTGGAATATGACAGTTCGCAGTTTCAAAATCTATTTGGCCACAGTGGATTGACAGTCTGGACACACAAAAACCTCTGGAAGATCTTTTGAATCGATGCCTATGGGAAAGCATTGGTACCAGTCCTTGCAGTTTCCTTCACAGTAAACCATAATTAGGTCACCACTGGGCCTCCTGCACCCTTCCTTCAAAAAACCAGCAGCCTTCAAACAAGGAAGGTAAAATATCTGAGCAATAGGTTAGTGTATCCTTCCATCCTTCTGGGCATGATCGAGACACAGTAATGTGACTCTCTTTCAAGATTTGTCTCTTCTTGGGAGGAACAGCATCAATTTCCACTTGAAAATATTTGTCTTGTCCTTCAAAATAGGTTTTCCCACTGTACTGTATTATTTCTTTTGCAATCCAGGGTCTAATGGCAGCCATATCCTTTTGTATGAACTGTAATTGGGCAGCAGAAGCAATCAGATGGGCAATGGTACATGTGAAAGGACCGTAGTCACTGGAATTACCTTGCCTGGGTATATCAGTTGGTGCAAAACATGACCAGTCCGCAAAACTATAGGGATATTTTGAATCCATCTCATATAGACATGTTAAGAAGGATGTTATTGCATCAATCACAGAGTGGTTCAATCCATGTTTGGAATCTAGGTAGAGCATGGTCTTCCTTTACAAAATGATTACTATCAGTATCCAGTGGACTTCTGTGTCATTTACTGGAATAATCAAAACATCTTTCTTTAGCACTCCAAATCTCAAACAGTTCTTCAGGGCTTGCACTGGCAATCTTTGACATATCTGCATGAAGTGGCAATTAAGTGGGAAAATTGTTCCATCGTGACCTAGCTCTTTGGCCATGATCACCCTGGAGGCAAGAAAGGCATCTATTATGCGGTCATTTATCCAGTTTGATCCTTTCAGTGTGTTTATGTCATAGTCATACACACAGATGTTGCCAACTGAACCCACAAGTCCCATGGTTTGTAGACTGAGTGTAGGGAAGGTACAGTTGCGCCTGTTGAATGGCTTCTTTAAATGTAAAGGTTCGTCATTGTTCCACTCGATGTGTATGTCTTTAAGGGGCCAGAGCAAGGGCCAGAGCAAAATAACGAGACCCAGCTTTACAGCTGTGAAACATAGCAGGTGCTGCTGAGTTGTATTGATTAAGCTGTGTCAGAATTTGGGTGTAGTATATAAGGAGCAGCACCTAGCTCTCCCATTACCCTGGGGGATGGGTTGGTGGTTGGGTCTGGTTTGTTGATGTATTTAGTGTAAACGGAGTTTTTGTTTTTCTTATTAAAACCTTGTTTAAGGTTTTTTTTGTCCCTTTTTATTGCACGGTCTCCCCAGCAAGCTCTCTGCAGCGCTACCATACTGCAAATAGCCAACATCTTTGGTTATGGGCCCAGCTGCTGGATAACTGCATATTTTTGGACTCTGAGAAAGGTTTGAAAACTCCTTCTCCTGTTAGCGTAGTTCTGTGGGTCTGGAAGAGTTCCAGAATGGTTGACCGGGTTCCAGAAGCTGAGAAGGCTCTGGTCTTCCCACAGCTGACAGATGAGAACTATAGTTTATTGTCTTTTCGGGTGGAGGCGCTTTTGACCTCTAGAGAAGTGTGGACCTATGTAACTGATGACCCTCCTGACCCTGTAACTAATGCTTGGTCGAAAGGAGATGCAAAAGCCAGGGCAATAATTAATTTGGCAGTCAGCGACCAGCAAGTAGTCTATATAAGAAATAAGAAAACTGCCAAAGAAATGTGGGACAGTCTTGCAGCAGTGCATGTTAGAAAAGAGTCAGCGTCTGCATTGACGTTTTTCAAGCAGTTGTACCAGACGAAGTTGCAGCCTGGTGGTGATTTGGCAGCACACTTGAGATGCCTGGAGGCAATACGCTGCGAATTAATTCGAAGGGACATGGAGATACCTGATATTCAGTATGGTTTTATCATTCTTTGTTCCCTTAATGAGGACTTTGATGGTATAGCTAGCCAGATATCTGCCGTTCCACCAGCACAATTAACTGTGGAAGGGGTAACGGCAAGATTAATGGGCGAGTTGGATAGAAGGGAGGCTTGTGCCATAAGCACTCCTATTTCCAGAAAGAATGAGGAACGCCATATGCAAGCGTGTGGTGATCCGACTGCATTTAAAGCTGCCAAGCGTTGTTGGTTCTGCAATAAGCAAGGACATTTTGCAAAGGACTGCAGATCCAAAAGAAAGCAAAGTACGCCAAAGTCTGTTTCTGTTCGTCAGTCACGGTCGTCAGCCCAGCAGCCCACATCGTACCGTAAAGACAGAAACGAGCAGCGAGCTTTTCACGCTCGCACAACAGATCGTAAAAGAATTAAAGGTGCCAAGTGGAATTCTTTTATTGTGGACTCAGGAGCATCCCAGCACATTTGCAACGATCGAAGCTTGTTTATTTCTTTCGAAGAGGAAATTGGTAATGTACATTTAGCCAATTCGCAAGTCTTGCAGAAGCTTGGCAGGGGTACTGTTAAACTTGACTCTTTAAACATTACTATAGCGAACTGCATTTACTGCCCATCAGTGGACAATTTATTATCAGTAAGGTGTTTTGCTCATCAAGGCATAACTGTGCGTTTCTTAAATTCAATGTGTGAGTTTTTTGATGGGAACAAACGTGTATTGTATGCCCGGGACTCTGATGGTTTATATAGACTGTATTTTCGCACCTACTCCCAATCGCCTATAAATTGCAGAGCAGCACAGTCAAGCCAGGGGTTGAGGAATGTAAGGCCAAATTCAGGTTGTGTCGCTGAGGCACACAGATTTCTAGGGCATCTGAATTTTGCTGATGTAATTAAGACAAAGAATATTGTTAATGGCCTCAACTTAAAACCATGTAAATTCTTTATGCAATGTCTATCCTGTTGCAAGAATAAGATTAAGGTTGCACGCAAGGGTAGGTGCTCAGATAGGAAAATAACTGAGCCCTTTGAGCGTGTACATTGTGATTTAGTTGGGCCACTCCCACCATCATTAGGAGGTTCTAAGTACTGGCTTACCCTGATAGACCAGTATAGTAGATATTGTTGGACTTATGCAATAGCTGAGAAGTCCCAAGCATTTGAAAAGTACAAAGTTTTTTGCAACTGGGTAAAAATGCATTTTAACAAAGCTATTAAGAACCTGTTTTCTGACCGGGGTGGGGAATTTGTTTCTGAGGATTTTGAGAATTTCCTGGAAGCGCAGGGGACTACTCATGAGTTATCATGCCCCCGAAGTCCCTGGCAAAATGGGCTTGTTGAAGTTGTGCAGCGTGACCTGCAGGCAGGGGTTAAAACTTATCTGCACGATGCTAACCTGCCCAAAGATTTTTGGGCTGAAGCGCTTAATGCGTTTTGTTATGTTAAAAATCGCAGTTATCATTCTGGTTTAGATGTCACCCCCTATGAGAAGTTGTTTAAAAAATGCCCTAATCTGAAATACCTACGTATTTGGGGCTCAGATGTAATTATGCATTATCCTGCTAAGCAGAAATTGGGTGAGCGTAGTGTTCAGGGAAAATTAATGGGCTACCAGCAGGGGGCGTACAGAATTTACGTCCCAGCAACTGGCAAATTTCATATTACCAGAAGCATGATACAAACTGTAAATTGGAATGGAGTTGCTGTTTTCCAAGATACTAACAGTATAGATAATACTGAGGAAAAGGAAGCAGCAGCAGCAGGAAATGGTGCTTCTGAATTAATGGAAAAAGTCAAAAAGCCTGTTGAATCTGATAATTTGCTTGATGATTTAAAGTCACAGGCACCCGAGGGGAGGTTAGATTCTCTTGAGTTTTCTGACCGTGAGCTTAGCCTACAGGCATCTCTTCAATCTGACAGTGATGATTTACAACCTGAAACTAGTAGTTCACTTAGTCCCATTAAGTCTGAGGAGTCTGACTCTCCTTCTGGACAGACGTTCAGATAGAAAGAGACAGAAGCCACAACGTTTTGCAGATGAACATTTTAATACTGTGTATGCCAATAAGGCGGTTTTTGAGCCAAAAAGCTACAATGATGTTCGGAATTTACCTAAGCACCAAGCTGCAAATTGGTATGAACTATGAACTCTGAGATATTCGCTTTAAAAGAGCATAACACTTGGTCTCTTGTACCACAGACCCCAGATATGAGACTTATTGATTCAAAATGGGTTTATAGAGTTAAAATGAATGACAAAAATGAAGTTGTAAGGTACAAGGCTAAATTAGCTGCTAGGGGTTTTCAACAAATTCCAGGCAAAGATTATGATTTGTGTTATTCACCAAGTGTAAAATATGAAACAGTTAAGCTTTTGTTAAACAGAATGTCCACGTTGTGATGCATCTTTTATCACCTAGATATAAAAACTGCATATTTGTTTGCAGATTTAAAAGAACAAATTTTTATGCGTGTCCCTGAAGGCATAGACGCCGCTGAAGGTTTGGTATGCAAATTAAATAAATCCCTATATGGTCTGCACCAAAGTGGAAGGAATTGGCACCAAACTTTAGCAAAAGAATTGCTGGATATTGGTTTTTCACAAGGCAAGGCAGACAATTGTGTGTTCATAAAGGAAAGGGAAAACTCTGTAACAAAAATATGTGTGTATGTAGATGACGTGTTAATTTCTACAAAAACTAAATAGGAATATGAAAAGGTAGTTTCACAGTTACAGAAGAAATTTGATGTGGTGGAATTAGGCATAGCTAAAAAGTACTTATCCATGCAAATTGAGAAAGGCGAAAATGGATCTTTTCTGGTTCATCAAACTGCAAAAATTGATGATATTGTTGAAATGCTATGTTTAGAAAATGCAAATGGGAAGGAAACGCCTATGGTGTGTGGTTTCACTTTTACAGGTGAAGATAAGTCATTTCCTAACAAAACTTTGTAGCGTTCTGCTATAGGCAAGCTAAATTTCATTCAAAGAATCTCAAGACCAGATATAACTTATGCTTTTCACTTTCTGGCAAAATTTGTGGAAAAGCCCACTACGCAATGTTTATCTGCTCTTAAGAGAGTGGTAATGTACCTTAAACATACCAAACATTATAGGTTGCAGTTTACATCAAGTATTGACAAAGTTTTTGAAATTTTCTGCGATGCATCTCATGCAGTGGAACAAAATAATTGCAGGGGTGTCTGGTATGGTGTTTTGTTATAACGGTTGTCCATTTGAATGGAAGTCCCAGACACAAACCATTATTTGTCTCTCCACAACAGAGTGAATTATGTCATGCGTTCAGGCCACTCGTGATGTCGAATGGTATCTGCAAGTATTTGCAGACCTACAGATGCAAGTAACACTACCAGTAAACGTTTACCTTGATTCCCAGAGTGGACTCGCTATCCTGTGTTCAGAAACCAATACGTAGCGCACTAGAGTCTTGAGATTACGTTTACAGTTTGTAAAGAAACTAATTGCTGATAAAATGATTGTATTTCAATATGTTCCAGGTGACAATCAAATTGCGGACATTTTTACTAAAGCTCTTCCAAAGGTTACACATGAAAGACATGTACAAAATATGCTTTATGTTTTTGTTCCACAATGATGAACCGCAGGGGAAATGTTGAATGGCTTCTTTAAATGTAAAGGTTCGTCATTGTTCCACTCGATGTGTATGTCTTTAAGGGGCCAGAGCAAGGGCCAGAGCAAAATAATGAGACCCAGCTTTACAGCTGTGAAACATAGCAGGTGCTGCTAATTTGTATTGATTAAGCTGTGTCAGCATTTGGGTGCAGTATATAAGGAGCAGCACCTAGCTCTCCCATTACCCTGGGGGATGGGTTGGTGGTTAGGTCTGGTTTGTTGATGTATTTAGTGTAAATGGAGTTTTTGTTTTTCTTATTAAAACCTTGTTTAAGTTATTTTTTTGTCCCTTTTTATTGCACGGTCTCCCCAGCAAGCTCTCTGCAGCGCTACCATACTGCAAATAGCCAACAGTGCCATGGGGGAACTGATGTACAAATCAGTGATTTGCCCAAACACTTCTCACTTTGTGCTGAGAATATGGGGCTGCTAAAAAATTGGTCACTGTCAAATCCTCTTTCCCACTTTTTGGAGTGGAGGTCATCTGAGGTTGAGTGCTTTCCAGGTGTCTCATAGTCAGCTGGTGATCTTAAGGAGTCCAACCCCTCAGCAGCCCGCACTGAATCAGATGCTGGAGCTACTGTTACCTTTTCCTGCAGTCTGGGGAACTTTCTTCCCGATCTACTCTTCTGTCTTTTATTTCGCTTCAACTATGTGAGTTGCAACTGGCAAGGCTTCCCTGGTTCCGGTGGCATGCCGATAGATTTTGTGGCAGCTATAATATGGTAACAAGTCCTGGATGATGGGCGCGCACACAATGTCCTGTACGGACTGTGCATGCATGGCAGACCGTATGGTCGCCAGGAGAACGGCAGCCTGTGTGGTCGCCGCAAGAGGGGCTGTCCGTACGGACGCCACGCAAGCAGCAGACCACACGGACGCCATGCGAGCGGCAGCTAGTACAGCGACCATACTGTCACCCTCCCCCCAGCGTGGCACCCCGGGGCACCCCTCCCCCCGCTGCCCCTTCGTATGCCCCTGCAGCCAATCAAATGTACTATGAACAATCTGAAGTCATGCTGGGCACAATTCACCACTGATCCTGTTCTAAAAACATGTGGTGGACTGCAGGAAAGGTGTCAGCAGGCACCATGATGCCCATGGGCACCACGTTGGAGACCCCCTATTTCAAAGTTTGCACTGACAAAATCTGTTGGCAAGAAAACTTGCAGTTAAACCTCCATTTATAATTACTGCCCCCCCCAGCAAACAACTTTTGTCCCAAAACCATTTGTAGCTGAATTGATGCAAGACAGATGATTGCTTTTCATGGTTACTTTGGTGGTCTCCATCTAGTTGGTTTGATAATTTACATTCACAGGTAAGATCATCACAATCTCTGCCTTGGATACTCTTGAAGTTTGGCAGCGTCAAAAAATTCCAGGTGCAGTTCTTTACAGTGGAAGCTATGAATATGAATGTCATTTTAATACAATGTTCTTGCTAATGCAGAACCATTTCAGATAGTTTTTATTTTGGTCATTCCATGGACATTGGTGTGATCTTACAATGCAATTTGGTGGAGTCCATTTAACAATCATGACGATCCTTGAGGATTAAAGTATTGAATATAGTGTTTGTTCCTTCGCTGTGCTCTGTGGTTTTTGTGGTTCATTCTGTTGTCATATACATCATGTGTGATTTGATAGTGATTTCAGGGTGACCAATCATAAAAAACGTAATCATCCATGGGGATCTGTGCTTCATGAGAATGTTTTTACAGCATGGCAGTGCCCCAAAGTGATCTGGCCATGAGCAGCATAGGTGGTTGGGTAATGAATATGGGGTGACCCAGAAAACTGTGGAGCCGTAATTTTTTAAAAAATATATATATTCAATTTTATAAGGATAGGGAAGTACAGAAAGGGGAAAGGGGGAGGGGATAGATAGATAGATAGATAGATGATAGATAGATAGATAGATAGATAGATAGATAGATAAGAAATTTAAAAGACCGACTTCCGGTCAGCGCCAACAGCTAATGGCGGATTCCCTTTGATCCGGAGGGGATCGGCTCCGTGGAAATCGGGTCCTTTACGCTGCGGCGAAGCGGGGACCCTTACAAATCGCAGGCAGTGAAGCCTGGGAACGTGGGGACTCGGCGGGCACCTTTTAGCGCCCCCCCCAGCTTGCGAGGAAGCCTTTTTTGGGGCTTCGGAGCGGAACGGGGGAGAGGCGCGGTGCTGTGAGTCGACTGCTTCTTTCACGGAGCGAAGCCGCATGTCCGTTGCTGGAGAGCGCTGACTTCTATCCTGGAACAATTGGATCTTAAAGAAAATACCCGTGAGTAGGGGGAATTGGATCGCAAAAAGACTGATTGAATTGGATCTATCTTAAAAAGACTGTTTGAATTGGACTTATTGAAGGGGGGGGAAAGAGACTTAATTGGATACCGCGGCGGGAGGTACAACCAGGAAGTCTGCCTCCCGTTCTGTAAATAGATCAAAGCATAGAGACTTTAGAGCTAAAGCGCTGGAAATAAGTTTGTAAAGGGCTGCTTTCCGGCTCGAGAACTTTTCTGAACCCCCCCTCCTAAAAGCAGGGAAGGAAGGGGGTTGTTTTGGACTGTGTAAACCTGCATAAAGAGAGGAGAAGTGTAAAATCCACCGTCCAGACCTGGGAACGGTCTGCCAGTGAACTAAGACTATTGCTTTTAAACCTGCGTCTCAGCTGTCAAAAGGATTTGTTGACAGTAAGGTGGATACATTGTGGCTAGCTTTGGTGAAAAAGTAACTGGAAGGTAACTAAATTGGAACTGTTTTTATGCTTCGGCTGGAGTTCTTTTTTTTTTTTTTACTTTAAGAAGGAAAGTTACTCTTTTGGACTATTGCAACTGTGTCCACCTAGGGGGGACCCTTAGAAATTGCAACAAGGGGAATTTTCCACTGGTAAACAGGAATAGCTTATCTGAGAGTGACCTTGGCTTCTTGGCTGTTTTATTGTTATGGCAGATGGGAAAGAAAAATTAGACGCGTCAGTTCTGAGGTCTGGGAAAGCTTGGGGGCAGCAAAGGCCATCAACTGCTGGCCTTCCTACGGCATCTACACAATCTAAGCCTAGCGGAATGACGGAAGAAGTTTTAGCGAATGCACTGGTTAAGATCAATGAAACTCTATTACAACTCAGTACGAAGGTCGAAGAGACCAATAAGAAGGTCGAAGAGACCAATAAGAAAGTTGATACTGCAAATAAAAAAATTGACTTAAACACAGAGACATTAGATAATTTGGGGGAAAAGGTGAATAGTAATACAGAATCTTTTCAGAAACTACTGCAGGAATTGAAATCGACACAGGAAAAAACTGCTGCTGTGGAATTTAAAGTAGAGCAGTTGGAAACAGAGAAGGTGCCAG